TCTGCTAAATCCATGTTCCAGTGCAGCAACGTCCATGAAAGACACTGTCCTGATGTTGCAGGGCTCTGACACCCCTCCCGCACAGACACTCTTATGCTCAGGCACAGAAGACTCAGTCCGATAGAACCTCAGTATCCACTTTACAAACACGCAAACTGGGAAATTAATACAAATAATAATCCCAGAAGTCAATGGAATTAAACACAAGTAAGAAGAACTTTTGTTTCCCCTGGATAGATCCATATTCGTGGATGCCATGCCAACTTCAGCAGAAGATTAAAAGATGAAACCAGAGAGAGCTTTTATTTTAAAGGACCCTGAAGAGATACTGCAGCACCTCAACACTATAGGTAGTGAGTGCACTGGGATTAATCTAATCTAACTTCAATCTTGTCTTCACTAATAAAAGGCTCACTGCACAATGTACTTTTAAGAAAACCGAAATATAGGGACTGCCACAACTGATCCCCCTATAATTTGTTTGAAAACAAACCAAAACAGTGCAGTGCACATTAATTGTCCCCTGGGCAAGAGGGACTATGAAAAATGAGCTGCAGATGACAGATGCCAATCACAGTTGCCTAATGAACTCAGATGCTACAATATGGTATTACAGTCTGTATAAAACAGAATGAGAGACACCAGTTTCTGAAGGTAGCAGATTGCTGCCCGCCAGTTTAGCTATAGGGATTGGACCGTAAAAACTGCTCTGGGGTTTTAGTATAGAACATCCAAAGACCTTGTAAAAGGCATGCCTCCCTTTAAAACAAGGTACTGGGACAACTGGAAGATAAAACTGATACAACTTAGATAAGGAGTTGAGTTTACAGAATAGCCCAGGCAATCTATGTTGAGTTTACAGAATAGCCCAGGCAATCTACCATTACAGCTGGTCAGCTGAGCAGCTGCACCGACCTTGAAGGGAAAGCAGAGATTTGGGAGATGACCACTGCTGCATGGATAGCAATATAAAGTTTCATAGTTTCTAGGGTCAGAAGGGACCTGGGCAGATCATCTAGTCCGCCCCCCTGCCATGGCAGGAAAGAGTACTGGGGGGCAAATGACCCCAGCAAGATGGTCATCTAACCTCCTCTTAAAAACCCCCAGGGTGGGAGCCTGCACCACCTCACTTGGAAGCTGGTTCCAGACCCTAGCCACCCTGACCGTGAAGTAGCGCCTCCTGATGTCCAACTTAACCCTTCCCTCCGCCAGCTTGTGACCGTTATTCCTGGTCACTCCTGGCGGCGCCCGGGGGAACAGGGACTCCCCCAGGGTCTGTTGATCCCCCCTGACTAGTTTATAGCAGGCCACAAGATCCCCCCTCAGCCTTCTCTTCTGGAGGCTGAACAGGTTCAGGTCCCGTAACCTTTCCTTATAGGACCTGCCCTGCTGTCCCTTGATCATGCGAGTGCACAATATGCACAATAGAAACTAGTACCCTAAGGATTGAGCTTGATCAGTGGCCACTCTCCTTCTGAAATCTGTGGGAAAGCAGAACGTGGGTAGCTCTGAAGGCAAACAATTCCTGGCAAGGGAAAGTGGAGGGGGATTATAAGGCTGTGCGAAACTTCAGGTGCTGATTCAATTCGGAGGAGATTCAGCCCAATTCGGTGGCCAAATCTCCAAATCCGAATAGAATCAGGGGACCAATAAAAAGGTCCGAATCAATTCAAAGCTCTCCAGATCTTAGGAAAAGGTTTGGAGAGCTTCAATGATTCAGGCAGTCCACAGGCTCTGTAACATCGTCTAGCAGATACAGCCCCAAGGCTGGACTGGTTCCTGCACTAGCCAGCAGGTAGAACAGATGCATTGGCAATAGGCTAGGGCATAGCCTACCGAGCGTGTTCTGTTTACATGTGCATGCTTATGCATCCACAGTGCAAAGGAAGCTGAATCACTACTTTTGCATCAGTGCCAGAAACTCCACTTACACAGCTAGAATACTGCCATCCAAGACACTTGTACACATGGCAGTGGTTTAATCTTCTATTCCCCCTAAATTGAAATGGTGGGTTTTTAACTGAAACCCACCATTTCAATGTAGGGGTTTTATTTTTCTGTCATGGTATGGTGAGGGGCCTTATCCTTTTTTTTTTTTTTCCCAGTAGAGCCTGCCCGTGGGCCGGGGGTGAGCTGCTAGTGGACTGAGCAGCCCCTGAGCTGCAGGGGCGTGGGGCAGTCTTTCCCTCCGTGACAGCGGTGCCTCCCAGGGAAGAGCTGGATCAGGCTGAGTGCTAACCTCTGAGCTGGGTCAACACCCGACTGACTAGCAGCCTGCTTCAGTGGTCCTAGGGGGTGCTGCCACCATGGAGAAAAGAACTGGGGTCCTTCTGCAGCTTGAGGGCTGCTCAACCCACTGGCTGTGGGTAGGCTCCACCAAAAAAAAAAAAAAAAAAAGGATCAGGCCCTTCACTGCTTCTGCTTTAAGCAGGCACCTGCCAAAGGCAGAAGTGGCAAGGGGCCTGATCCTTTTTTCCTGCAGAGCCTGCCCACCTCTCTAATGGCTGGTGGGAGAAGCTGAATGCATTGTTGCACACTAAGCTACATCAGGACATAGTTTAGTTTGTAACAATGCAAACTCATCTAAAACCCCCCAAATTCACATTCATGTAATGTGTGACACTATTAAGCCTCACAAAGCGACATTTTTGTTGTGTGTTCATTGTGACATCGTCACGTGTACAAGCGACCCTAGATGCACATAGGGATGTATAAGTGTACTGGTAGTGCTGCTGAGATGAAGGTGCCTGTTGAGGTCCCCCTTGGAGCTCTCTTTCTAAAGGCAGCAGACAAACACAAGGATAAGGAGATGCTGCTGCTCTTGGTGGAAAACTTTTTTCCTTAATTTCCATTTGTAACCACGAGAGCCTACTCCCCAAAGGTCTGACACCTAAGAGCTTATTGAAGGAGAAAATTCAGTCCCTCCAAGATGCTGGCTTTTTTGTGATGTATAAAAGGAATGTTATGTCTCATCTGGAAAAGTCTAAAAAGATCAGAGATGCTGTGATAACAGGGGGAGGAAAAAAATTCTGCATGCAATCTGGATTTTTCTTTTAGGTGAACTTCTTCTAAAGAAAGAATAGAGAAATCCAATCTATATTGCTTGGTAAAGAAAGAAAAAACAAACAGAAGTGCTATGATATTTAACAGATGATGAATAAACCAATGGATAAAAAGAAAAAGAAAAGCACTGAATAATAGCTACAAACTTGAATTAGTATGCTGTCCAGATTCCAATTTGGATAATTACATTCTGTCTACCTGACAATATTTGGCATGCTCAATTGCAGTACGCTGTTTTATGATAATTTCTGTTGTTGTAAAGCAGCTGATAGAAGAATGACTTTCGAGGATAAGGGACATGTATCTTTACATCTAAGGTTGAGATGGGGCTTCAATGCTGGCTCTCTGTACCAGAGTGAATTAATCTCTAGTAGTGTTTATAAGGCTCCCAGCCTCACAGGGTACGAATGCCTCAAAATCTCTCAGATGCTTTCCTTACAACACATCTGTGAGTTAAGGCAGCAAGCACAGAGGGATTTAAGGCCTCAATTCTACAAACATTACGCACATGTGCAACTCCATATTTTTTTTCCAGTTGTGTCCTAAAAGCCCATCATTAAAATGAAATAATCTCTCAAGAAGAACTATTTCAGTCTAAGAAGTTTTGGTAGTTTGTGCATATTGATCTATTGACCTACAAGGTAGCATAGAGTTATAAATTATATTTACACTGTTTAATTGGTGCCATTAACAAAGTAAACAGTCTCCTTCATTTGGCTGCAGGATAAAAATATAAAGAGACCATAGCATATATGCAGTCGCATGATTTATCCAAGATGACAACAGATTCTCAAAGCTGGGTCTTTATATTAGGGCTGTGTATTTGGATTCCTCAGAAACACCAACGTCTCCTCCAAATCATTACTAAAGATGTTAGATAAGATGTTATTTATGGTATTTTAGCTGGCTTTCTGTCCACATCGCAGCATTCCTCTCCAAGCTAATCCGAATGCATTTTCCAATTAACATTTAACAAGAGACAGTATCAAGGACTTTGCTGAAATACAAATATATCACATTTACCACACTGTTTGGTAATTCTTTCAAAAATGAGGTTTGTCTGATGATAATTATCCTTTATTTATCCACTGCTGTTTATTGCTCATAGACTCATTATCCTGGATGTTCAGTAATTTTTTGCCCTTGTTTTACATATAAAAACCCCATAATTTCCAGATGGTATAAGTCTGCTAATTTCACACGGAGCTACACCATTCTCCTCTGGCTGAGAATCTGGCCCTGGGGTTACAGAAAGATTTATAGGCTGGTCATGGCCATAATTATTTTTCTTTCCCATTTCGGAAATCACTCCTCATATAAGCATAAAGGCAAAGAAACATAGCAAAAGAGAATAATCTTGCATCGCTACTATTATAGACATTACTGAGAGAACAACTTACTCTGTTTTCATTACAGATGCAGAAATTAAGTCTCAGAGAGGTAGCCACTGAAATTTCCAGAGGGATCAAAGGTAGTTAACACCTAACTTCCACTGAGCCTTGCAATGAAGCTGCTGTCTTAAGTTGTTTTCCATTATCCTATCACACTGGAGACAAAAATCCTGTTTTCCTCTTCTCTACCCCCAAGTTTATATTCTTTTACCACTGGCTCCCCACAGCTGTGTCATCAGCTTTGCAACATTGTTCAGCTTCATGAAAAGTACTGCCCAAGGAGGACTCTATAAAGAGCCCTGGCATCAAGAATAAGTGTACTTCCTTGGAAATGGATCCCGGTCCAAAAATCTTCAAGAGGAAATCAATGCGATTCATCAGAGCTAATGGATATATACCAGTTGCCCCATCTGAGGACTGAATCCTAGTTGAGAAGTCAAGTCAGTTGTGCCAGTGTGGGAAGATCCACTTTTCCAAAGCATTCAGTGTTACCAAAGGAGTCTAAGTACAGCAATGTGCCACTCAGCACCAAAATGTTGCACTTACCATGACATGAAAAAGCCAAGTGTGTAGATGATGCATAAGTTGTCGGTCAATCAGCTGCTGTTGCCCTAAAGGGGTTAGGAATGACCTGCTGTTCTGCCCAATCTTGCACAATTTCCTGTAATAGCAAAGGTGAGAATAAAACATATCAGGTTAATCCTACCCCTAAGGGGGAATTTAGAAGTGCCAGTTTAAAGAGATTGTGGGCCCTAATTCTCTACTGCACCCCAGGGAGCCATTTGCCCTGGTTCAAGGGAGACATCAAATGGATCAGCATTTTCCCACCCACTTTGCCAGGAGAGAAAATTCCCATTTAGACACAAAGGGAAACAAAATTCCACACAAAGTATTCAAGTTAAAATCACTGTGAACAGTGAAGAATGTTTCCCTAAAGCAGATGATTGTTATCAAACACATGAAGATATACAATGCTTTTGAAACAATCAACTGGATAATTCCAGCTGAACAAAAAGAAAAGGCAGCGTAGTTTCAAAAATATGGCATGCTTAGCAGAGTTCAATTCTGAAAGGGGCTCCTTTTGTGCTGGTAGAGTGATAAAAAGATGACTGACAGGCAGGAGAGGTTTTTCCAACCTGATGCATTATCAATTTTTAAAAGTGAAATTACTGTCTGAATGCAAGTGACTGACTGGAATACAACAAGAGTCCTTCTTGCACAGCTGAGTTCAAACCCTACCAACAGGGACATTCAGAATAATTCCACTTGCCATTGTCAAATAAGATTTAGCCCCTGGAACTGAGAGATTTCAGAGCCATTTCTTCTCCCAAGATGCATGTGGCATAAAGCATCCCCAAATTTAAAGCAGAAGGCAAGGATGCCTCTGAGACTGCCAGAAAGGCAGGTATTCCCAGGTCTTGAAATATATTCAGACACACATGCTTTCTTCTAACACTGTTTTTGGAAACTGTATGGAGCACTGTATAAGGAGGCTGCAAGAACGGTGATCAGAACAGTGGCTGATACAGCTAGGAGGACTCCAAGATGAACATGAGTCGGCAGTATGACAAAGCCATCAGAAAAGCCAATGGCACTTTATCGTGCATCAGCAGATGCATGACGGATAGATCCAAGGAGGTGATACTTCCCCTCTATCGGGCGCTGGTCAGACCGCAGTTGGAGTACTGCGTGCAATTCTGGGCGCCGCGCTTCAAGAGAGATGCGGATAACCTGGAGAGGGTCCAGAGAAAGGCCACTCGTATGGTTAAGGGCTTGCAGACCAAGTTCTACGAGGAGAGACTAGAGAACCTGGACCTTTTCAGCCTCCGCAAGAGAAGGTTGAGAGGCAACCTTGTGGCTGCCTATAAGTTCATCACGGGGGCACAGAAGGGAATTGGTGAGGTTTTATTCACCAAGGCACCCCCAGGGGTTACAAGAAATAATGGCCACAAGCTAGCAGAGAGCAGATTTAGACTAGACATTAGGAAGAACTTCCTCACAGTTCGAGTGGCCAAGGTCTGGAACGGGCTCCCAAGGGAGGTGGTGCTCTCCCCTACCCTGGGGGTCTTCAAGAGGAGGTTAGATATGCATCTAGCTGGGGTCATCTAGACCCAGCCCTCTTTCCTGCCTATGCAGGGGGTCGGACTCGATGATCTATTGAGGTCCCTTCCGACCCTAACATCTATGAATCTATGAGGAAGACTATACAAGAATATGTTTGTTATGGACCCCAGAAATCATGATCCTGAACATATCCCTCTGACACTCTGTGCCTTAGCTTCTCCTTTACTAAGACATATTAGAGAACTGAGATTTGGGATCCTGCAACATGAGAACCCATTATAAAAGTGTATAATACCATATTCATCAACAATGAACAACATCCCTGATTGCTCAGGATTATTCAAAATCCAGGTTCAAACACTGCAAGCTGAGATCAAAGGATCATATAAAAGTAGGGCTGGAAGGGACTTCAGGAGGTTACCGAGTCCAGCTCCATGATCAAGGCAGAATGATGCCTCTAAACCATCCTAGACAAGGCTGTTCTTAAATTAGCTGCGGCCATTGCACCATACGTTTGTGATTGGACTAGGACTTGCTTGCTCCCCGTGCTTCTCACACTCGTGTATAGATAACTTAGACAACTAGCTAATTGCCCTAATTGGCTCTTTATGTACCTCCAGACTTCTGTCTCTGTCCCCCACTGAACCTAGCTTAAAGTCCTCCTCATAAGGGTAGTGAGTCTCTTCATGAAGAAGATGTTCTTCCCTTTTTTCAGCAGGTGAATCCTATCTTTCCTCAGAAATTCTTCTTAGAGCAGCACCCCTGATTGAAGAAATCTGTTGAAGACATCCTCTATGCAGCCATAGAGTTGCAAAAATCCTTTCCCTCATAAGAATGACAAACATGCAATCCTAAACAGAGTTTTGACGCCCCCCACTCCCCTCCCCTCCCCTCCCCTCCAAAAGGGACTGTTGTCAAAAATTCCATGAAGCTCACTAGCGACTTTGATTTTGCTACTGTGGAAGTGGAAAGCATGCAGATTTTAGGGTTATGGGCAACAATACTAAACCCCAAGACATGTTCCTGGACAGAAGTGGCAACCTGAGTTGTGAACAGGTTAAGGGGATTTTCGAACTAACAGCACTATTTTTTTCTCTCCAGTCTATAATGCCATCATATGATTGTCTTCCACTACTTTTGTCCAGTGTCTAACCCAATTGAGCCCCTATTCTGGATCTGTCCTTCAGAAGTACCAAAGGAAATACTATACATATATATTCTTGCAAATAGGGCTGAATTAACCCTAGAAAGGCTCAGATATCACCTGTTTGACATGAGGATGCTCAGTAGACCTGAGGTGCCAGGTCCAGGCATCCATTTTCAATTTTATGCTTCCACAGTTCACGTGACTTGCGCCCAGCACAAACTGTCAGGCTGGTCAGAGCAGATTATTTTATTTTGCTGTTCTCCTTATTTTGCTTTTCTATTTTTAATTTAAATGCTTTGGATGTTCGTTAGCATGAGGATTCACAGTGTATTTTATAGGCACTTTCAATCCATGTTGCCCAGTACATGTAAAATCCTTGAGCTCAGCACACAGAGCCAAATGCAGCAGACAGGTCTGAATGTCAAAGATGATGAAAGGTGAGAGCTGTTATAAGAAAAGGAGTGTGTGACAGCGGGCCATCCTGGGGCCGAGATCTCATGTTGGTCCGCCCACACGTCTATATGGGGCAGTCTGCTCAGTCTCGCCTACCACAACTTTGCTGGTATAATAAACTGGTGGTAAATGCAGGAGGCTGCTCATTGTATGCCCCGGTGCCAGGGGACACTATCCATAGCTCCATACCTCCCCTACATGACGGCCCATGCCTCAAAGATGGCATCTGAACAAGGTCTTACACTTTGACCTTAACTCAGCCTCTCAGCATCTGAGGACTTACTGGGTATCCTTCTGACCCACTCATGTGGCCTCAACATGCCTGAAGACTTACTGGGGTCATGACTCACCCTAGCTCCTTGGTTGAGCCACACACTTGGCCTCCAGCCCAACTGTGGCCTCAGGCATCTGTGGACTTACCTTGGCCTACCCACCCTCTAACCTGGGGCTTCAACTCATGCCTTCCAACTATTCCCTCTCACTAGGGCCTTCCACTATAACACTGGCGCTCTTACTCATGTGGGGGATGGCCCATGTGCTGTCTCCTCAGCTGCTTTTCAGGCTGTCCCTTCAGTCCCACTTAGCACCTAGATTATGCACAGTCCTTTGGGTCATAAAGATGCCCCCTGCTCTGTGCAGGTCACTGCGGCACTCATGCCCTCTCCCTAGGGCCACACAACTGCCCCCTCACACTGGGGCCTCTGGGGTCTTACAGCTCTGTGGGGCTCAGGTGGCCTCAGCTGTGCCTGGCCCTCTTACCCGCACCATTGTGGGGGCTGGGTTTATTAAGGCCCCCCAACCTGCCTTTCACTGGGGAGGTGAGCTGTCCTGGTATTTGAATGGCACTGCCCAACCACAGGAAGTCCCACCAGGCTTCCGTACCCCAGCAGGGTGAAATTTCAGATCATGCCCAGGACCAGGAGCCTCCAAACCATTCTCATAGCTCCTGCCCTTACCTCCAAGATGTTGGGAGCAGCAGCTCAGCCAGGTGATTTTGCTCTCTTGGCTGCAAGCAGCAAACTGCTGCCTCTGTCTGACTTGCCTAAGTTTGAAAATGGCCGCCTTAATCAGGCACCTGCTGGCTGCCTGCTCCAGCCCTTAAAGTGGCAGGCACCAAAGATGCACTGCCACAGAGTGCTTTCAGCTCCTGGAAGCTAGAAGGAAAATGTGGTGAGATACCTTTTGGAGAGAATGGAGGAGATGTGGCAAACATCTCAGTCATCACCAATGGGTTTTTTGAATGCATACTGCAGCCTTACAAATTTGCCTGGTTTCTTTCTTGCTTTTTGGTACCCAGGTAACATACAATACAAATTGCTTTCCTTTGTTGAAACATCGTATTCTGGGGAAAAGGTGGTCTGCCTCAGGGTTAATGCAGAAGACCAAAAAACAGCCTGTCAGCTGAGTACTGATTCCTGGTTCCACCAGTCTCTACTGGCCAGTGTCCTTACCTGTGTCTTCCTCAGTTTATTCTTTTCTGATAGTCTGCTTTCATAAGTAGGGAGATGGAACCATAGCATTGCAAAGAACTTCTTCTATGAATATGCTGCATCCCTTGTGCATAGATCACCAACCTTTCAAACCTGAGGACTTGACATACAGAGAATAAAAGTATTAACTGTTCATTTAACCTTGATGTTACACCACTAAAATTGGCCGAGGCTTTGGCATCTACTTCAATGACCATAAGATGGAGGTATAACTGGGGACATAATTCTTTCTGCCTTATTCACTGGAGTTTTGTAGCCACAAAAGGTACTCAGCCCGCTGGCCCAGATCCAGCAAAGCACTTATATACAACACTTAACTTGGGTAAAATTGACAACTTAGTCATGTGTTTAAATGCTTCACGGGACTGGGGTCAGTACGCTCAGCATCTTGCAGGACTTATCCAGATGGACGGAGCTCATCCTGTGATAGGTCTGTCTACCCAGTTCAGTCCTATTTGGAGGGCTCAAATGCTTACTGCAGGACTAACACTGCTGGTATGAATGAGGCTGTTGTAGGACCAAGATGCTTACACAGGTTGGAGACAGAGGCTGAATCTGGCCATAAATGAATAATAGAAGCTAAACCTCTCTCCACTCTCCAAAAAACTTTCTGATTAGTCCAATTTCATATCAATGAATTTTTTAAAATGCCAGGTCTGTATAACACCTGCTGGAGTCCTGAAATATGAACAAAATTAAACACAAAAAGTTATGAGGCGAGACAAAAAAAATCAAGGCTTAAATAAACGTCTAATAACCTTTAATATCTGCAGTAATAGGATTTGGTGCAGTAATTTATAATTTTTATACAAGCAACAGCTAAGATTTATGTTGGTAGTTATCATATGCCATAATTATAGGTTTTCAGGAGCTGCCTGGCTAGAGGGACAGTGTCTGTTTGTACAAAAGATAATTATGAGCCAACAAATGTAATTTTTTCCCATGTGAGGCAGACACAATAGATAAACACACACCCCATCTTCAGGCTTGTTCCACATCACTGACACTGAAATGTCCCAATTTTCATGCAGGAGAGTACATTTTCATCCACTGCACAAATATGGGTGAGTTTTATCTTGGTACATATATGGCTCCTAGCATCAAAATATCTGAGCACCTCCCATTCTTTAATGTATCAGTCCTCATAAACCCCCTGTGAGGCACAGAGCTACACAGACACTCAGGGCATTTACAGATGTGCTCCGGGAGTGGGGAGGCGCTTTAATTATAGCGGCTCTGAGAGCCACACTAATTAAAGCACCTGGAGTGTCACATGTATCAGCGTGCCCATGGTGAAAAATGGTGGCAGGGGTGCTTTAACTAAAGCTTATTGAATGTGCTTTGGTTAAAGCACCCCTGCTGCCATTTTTCAGTGCAGGGGCACTGATACACGTAACACTGGAGTCTTTGCAGAGCAGTACTTACCATGCTCCAGCAGGCTCTAATTGCATCAGAGCAGACTCACTGCTTGTCTATAGGTACCCTCAGAGCCAAGTCCAGAAAAAGAGTGAGAGAGCCACCTAAAGTCAACATACTCAGTTTGTAGCTCCCTGGAACTAGTCAGTCAGAAAACTCTGAAGACAGGGGCTGATATATTTTAATCTGGCACCTCATTCAGAACAACTGCCGGGACCCCCAGCCTGTGACATACTATGTTTCTTCCATTGCATGAGCATGGTCTGCACTTTCCTTTAGCAATCCAGCAATAGCAGAGCTCCTGTTGCACAAGACCAAGAAGTCAAGAACTGAGGTTTTATTCCTAAGGAGACTCAAATCTGTATTGCTCACCAAAACTGGAAAATGCCTCTGTTGCCAACCTGCAGATTGATTTAGAGCAGGAGCCACTCTCCATCCTCTTATATTTTCTGTATTGCCTTGTCAGAAAGAATTCAAGATTCACTGGGCCAGAGAGAGAATCACTGAGGAGCCTGGTTCTGCAGCATAGTGGCCAGAGCACTCGCCTAGGAGATGAGACAGTTGATTTCTACTTCAAAGCCAAAACAGGAGGCAAAACAGAAAGAAGTTTAGTGTATTCTTTTACCCCTTGTGCTTCTACAAGACAGAGGATGAGTGGCTCAGTATGATAACTGTTGCTCAACAAGGGAGCAAGCTCTGGTTTCTAGCCTAGCCCTTGTTCCCAATGGTGCAAGAATTTACCCGCTGCACCGCTTGCCACTCATTTTATCCAACAACTATTAACTGCAATAGATCCATGCGTAAGCTACTGAGCACACACAGTCTAGGCATACACATACATGTCCATAGCTGCAACTTAGTCAGACCATTTCACTTACAGACTGACAAAGAAGAAAGAGAATTATTTAATCTTTGGGAATGAGACCAGGTTCTGGGGGCAGGAGGGAAGCTTTCTGAGGGCTTGGTCCCACAAAGTACAGACCATTCCCATAGGCTAGGGACAGAAATTATACATCAATTATACATCAAAATTATACATCAACTGGTATAAGTGATTGGAAACTGGCTCAAATCTGTAACACAACAGAAGTTCAGAGCACATGAACTGCTTTCAAAATGGTCGAAACAAGTTTAAGATAATCCTGGCTGGATGTAGTATCAGACTTAACTGATTTAGGTTAAATGGGTTTATTGAACTTCTGTCCCAGATCCCCTCCAGACTCAAGTTAACTCTCAGTCCCCCAGCATCCCAAGAAGTTTTGCACCATCCCCACAGACCTTCCCCCCACTGGGTGGGCAGGTTTGGCCTATACTGTCTGCTTCAGCCCAGCAGGGAAGCATGGTCTAGCACCCCCAACTACTGGCCTGAGTCACTACAGGCATGTGGCTGCATTTCTGGAATCAAACGTGAATGCCTGTTCATTTGCTTATTGGTTCATTCTACACAGCTTAGACTAACCTGTGAAGATTGAATCGATTCAGCCTCCAGCTTTTTGACAGTCTGTACTTAGCCACAAAGTGAAATGAAGTGGATGTACCCAGTATCTCGCACATTGAAGATCTGAGCCACTGTTTTTCTGCTCAGGCTAGTCAGTCCATCTGGGTACTTCCTAGATACAAGCCTCCTCTCTAGTATCTGAGAACTTCTCGTGATGATGTGCCACTTCTTTGGTGTGTCAGAGACTTGTAAGATGGCACTGGGTCCTAGACAAATATCAGTGACAAATAATATTTTTCACGGCCCTCTACAGCAGACTCTTGGGTACTGCAGTTGATCCCTATCATTTCTCTTTCAGGATCCAAACCATCATCTTTAAGTCAATGGGAGTTTTGCTATTAACTGCCATTGAGGCTGGATCAGGCTTTTAGTTTGGAGCTCTGCTGGCTATTACCTGCTAAAAGAAAAGCCTTCAAATGCCTCTCTCACAGCTGCACAATTAATTTATTTTCCTGTAGGCTTTCAGAGTCTATTGGATTTTACTTTTTTTTCCCTCTGCTGACTCTTCAACCCTTTCTCGAAAGTGTTACTTAGAAGTTAACAGGCAGAAAGAAAATTAATGAGATGAACACAAACGGACTCCAAATGGTTTCTACATTCAGAGCAAACTTCATCCTGTACAGGGTAGCCTACTTCCTGTAGTCAAAATCAATTATTGGTAACACAAAAAGAAAAAATAACAGAGGCTTTGGAACAAACAATTTCCTGCTGTTTTTCTTTTTTTATGTCAAAATATTTATTCTCTTTC